TGAAGCAGACGATCTTAATGAGATCGACTATGGAAGCAGAACTCACAGCATTAGACACATCATGGGTCGAAGCAAAATGGCTTCGAGAGCTTTCGATGGATTTGCCGGTGGTTGATAAACCAGTCCCGACTGTCTTTATGAACTGCGATAATCAAACTATGATTACCAAGGCTAAGAGTTCAAAGGACAATATGAATTCCACAAAGCACATAAGAAGAAGATTGAAATCTGTCAAAAAATCAAGAAACTCCGGAGTGATAGCATTGGATTATATCCAGAATGCTAAAAATCTGGCAGACCCTTTTACGAAAGGGCTATCATGGATTGTGATAGAAAATGCATCGAGGGAGATGGGTATGAGACCTACGTAAGTTGCCATGGGGATAACCCAACCTATGTGATCGGAGATCCCGTGAACTAGGACCTGGGAAAACAATCCAGTGGTCAACTAAGGAGAGTATCCTTAATTAACCCACTCGATTGGAGATGCATAATACTATCAATTCTGTAAGGCAGGCTGACTTTTTTCTTAATGTGTTTCAAAGCTTATGTACGCAAGATGCTAACCTACAGAGCAATTTTGGAGGAACACACTTATGTGAGCCCGACTGCTGGTCATAGTCTATGAGATTGGGTGATCTCTAGGAAGCTCATGACAAGGTACGGAGTATGACTAATAAGCTCCACCCGTGGGGTTTAGCATTCGGTAGCCACATATGAGCTGACAATAGGCGAAACTCCTGCACGTCAAACTGACAATTCAAGGCATAGTCCATTGTTCAGTTGTGAAGAAGTCTCATTCTATTGCTTTAGGTGGAAGTTCAACTTAACAATATCCACTGAAATTTCTGGTATATCAAATATTGTTTGGAACACTTGACAAACTTATGTGCCTCGAGATCTGGTAGGGGACTGACGGATTAAGGATGGGCTTAGACCCATATAATGCAATAATCCCTGGTTAATCTCTAAGACCCATGCATGTGTACGACAAGTGGTGGGAAGTATGGTGGGAAGTTTAGTCCCATACTGCTACAGTAGGAAGAGTGAGACCTCTTTATAAGGGTTGCTCTAATAATTGCTATTGGGAGCTTGGGAATAAGAGTTGTACACGCGTGGTCCTCCTCCTCCGTCGTCCGCCTTGCCTTACCACGCCACGCCTCGCCCCGTCACGACGCGCGCGCGCCGCGTGTTGCGGGAATGAGGTGAGCCGAAGATTTTTTTTGGTTGTTAGGAATGGTTAATTAATTATTAATTAATTAATTAACGAGTCGCTTACGGAAGCGCCACTGTCCGAGGCATTGGACCATGCGCTGTGGTCTGTTCGTGGACTCGGTCGTGGGCCTGAGCCCAGGCCCATCTACCCGACAACCTATATAAGAAGGCGCTGGCCAGTGGAGTGAACCCTAACTCAGTTCACTCACTCCCTCTCGCACAACCCTATCAGTCATCTACTGTTCCTCTCACTGTGCTGCTTTCGGCGACCCCATCTCGATGACCGCGTGCACGGTTGGTCGAGAGAGCAGGTGCCTCCGGGATCTTGTCGTTCAAGATCCTGCCCGGGAGAACGACAATAAGGTTTTTGGGAAGCTTCTCGACACGACTGCTCCCGATCCGTCCCCGTCTTCGTCCGCCTCTGCTTCCACTACTTCCTCTACATCGACTCCATGGATGACGACGAAGTCACCAAGAAGAAGGCCTTGGCTGATGTTGAGGTTGCTGCTGCCGCCGCCGCGTTGGCCTGGCCAATCGGAGGGTATGACTTGTTCATCCCCTATCTGCTCGTTCATGTGTTGGTCGTATATATGTTGTTCATAGATGTTTCATTTCTATGTATTGTACGTGCTTACATGCTTAGGTATCGGTATGAGATGCATACCGTATTTGCCATGCTTAGCATTTACTCATGGATTAGATTAGTCGGAAAAGTGCTAACATTTCCAACATCCGACACGCTCATCGGGACCTCATCAGGAGGCGAGTTCAGATTAATTGGGGAGTGAATTTGCGAGGAAGAGATTGGGGAGGGAGATGCATATGACAGGTGGGCCGATGTTGTAAGAGTAAAAAAAATCCCAACAGGAATCACGCCTTTTCTATTACAACAAACATGATTTTACTCATACAGGGATTGGATTGACTGGGATCCGTAAATACAAGGTATCAATTTCAGGGATTTAGATGTGAGGGTTTGTTCACGTTAGTCTCTACGGGTGTGTTTGGTTGCAGTAGTGAATAGTAGTTGCATTGCATACATATCTCAACCCAGCCTGGTTGAGCAAAAACAGCCCCAAATGCGTCATCTACAAGTTGTTTGGTTGTCTGCATTTAGGGTCTCTGCATTAGGTAATACGCAAGTGCACTTTGTTTGGTTGCCTGCATTGGCCCAAGCGGCACATGAACACGGTGTTTGGTTGCACGCATGAGGTATGATTAAGAGCTAACACTTGGACTTAGCACACAAGGTTAAGAGCTAGCAGAGGGAGGAGAGAAGAAATGCAGTGTGCGCCGAACAATAGCGACTGCGGTGGATAGTGGTCGTGGCTCCATGTTCGGCATGACGAGCATGGAGTCGTGGACGAGCGACACCGTCCACGAACTGGTTGCGGTACTCGCGCAAAGACATTCCACAAAGAAGGAGAATGCAGTGCTCGCGCCATGGTATCATCGGTGGAGTGGACGAGAGAGGAGGCCGAGATGATCGACGCCGAAAACGACTCCAGTGTAGTAGGGCGAAATAGAGGAGGCCAAGATGATCGACCCCGTCGGCGGCGCGGCGAACTGAAGTGTGCATGGAGGCAGATGACACAAGAAAGCAGTGAGCGCGCCATTGTAGCGTCAGTGCAGTAGGAGGACGACAGAGAGTAAGCCGAGATGAGCGACACCGGAAATGACTCTAGTGTAGTAGGACGTGGGCAAGGAAATCAAGGGGAAGGGCGTCGGCGTCGAGAGGGACGAATAGGAGGGCTCTGAGCAGAGGACAGAGGAACTTGACATGGCGGCGACACTGGAGTAGACTGTTGTTCAAAGAGAGATGAAGCTACGATCGTCGAAATCAAAAATTTTACAACACGAATGTTGTGCGGAACTGTGAAATTAGGCTGTTGGTCAAAGAAAATTTCAAACGATCGATCTTGCGCGACGAATCTGACAAAATTCATCCAGAATAACTTCAAACGAGAAGACAAAATTAAGAATTTATGGCCGACGAAACTACGAACCGATCGCCTGAATGGAACCATAGCATCGAGGTACATCTTTTTCGTGTAGAGCTTACCTCGAATCAAAGAACCGTTGTGTAAATCGAAAGGGGATAGGAAGAACAAAATTAGAGAGAAGGTTACCGGAGGTAGAAGATAAGCAGGCACATGCCGCATACTAGCTCGTATCCCTCCCATCTCCCCTCAGTGCAAGTGGTCCATCATGTGAGCTCGCCTCAGCCTTGCTCGCTAGAAACTGCTGATCTGAGCGTTTCCAGCGAGCCGGGTTCAAATGTACTTTAAGTTTCGTGCTGTGCAAGCCCAACAGTAAATGCAACCAACCAAACGGGCTCAATCTTTCCCGTGGGTCAGACTGGGCCTAATGCAGACAATCAAAAACATCCTACAATCTCAGGATTTATTTTAGACTTCACTCTGGCCACTGCCTACAATATCACTAGCAGTGAAGGCGCGACAAAGGATAGTAGGGGCTCGTAATGATTCGTCAGGTATACTCGGGTCCCCTTCACTGCTGCAGTGCTGCCATGGCCAAAGGTGAAAGGCGTTGTCAACTTCAATCCGGGTTCGGAGTGGTGGTCTGGCCGGCGGCCGCGCCGACGAATCATCCACGGCGGGCCTTCGGATCAGCACGAGACCGATGACCGATCAAACCGCCCTCCTGTTTGTTCGGCTCGTGTTACACTGGACGCTACGCTGATGGCCGGCACTTGACTGGCCTTATCTTTTCGATCTTCCAGTAGCAGTGTGTCACTACGACGCGTTCTGAATTTTCTTCTGTATCAGGTTGACGACAACCGGAAATGAGATGTAGCCAACGGTTGCCCTGACGCACTTCTGTATAGATCCATGGTGCAAACAAATAATGCATTTCTGATCACTTTTTTACCCTATATTTTCGACAATCTTCTTTTCTCTTTACCCTATCCCCCCTTCCCCTCTGATTTTCTACCGGAGTGTAACGTGTTTGCATGGTTCTTCCGGGCAAAATGATAATGACTGTCTCTGCCTGCCCTGTCGCCGATCTACCTATCCATGACGGAGCTTAATTGCGGTACGTGGCGCAATGATAGACTCGGGAAGAGGAGACCTGCAATCTTGTCAGATGCATGAAGAGGCTGTTTGGTTGGAGACTCAAATTGCCACGCCTAAGGTGAGGTACTAGCCACACCTGTGGCTTGTCATAATGTGTGGCAAAATCAAACTGTTTGGTTGGTAGCCATGCCTTAGGTTAGGTGTGGCAGATTTTGTGTGGTGTGTGTTTGGATGGCTTTCACAAATGTTTGGCAAAAAGTTATGGTTTGCGTTTGGTTTTCTACCACGGTTTCCTGCCACAGGTGGTTAGAATCACCTTACTGCTAGACTCCACGGTGATGAGATTACTTGCCATTTGTCTCGCAAAGCAATCATACTACAACATGCTCCAGTAAATATAAGAAGATTTTATCGCAATAATAATAACCATAAAAAGTAACATGGAGCATTTTCTATTAATCCCATCTGTACGAAATAATTCAAAATGCAAACTCATAATCAAGATAGAAAATAAGATAGATACGTGCAAGTTTCGTCCATCATTATAAAGTCAAGTGATAGTCATTCATAGCAATAACACAAGTTCTGGCCAAATTACATTAAAGTGTTTCACCACACATCAAAAGATCTACTTCCCAAAAGCAGTAGTCGTAGCACAAGTTCATCTCCTAAATACCAAAAGTTGCCATCTTCTAAACTTCACAGGTTGCCAACTTCTAGACATGACAAGTTAGCAACTAGATAACTTCACATGTTGCTATAAACATGATCTTTGTCAGCAAAGAACTTGCAAACCCAAGTTTCAAAAGTTTTTTCACTTGCACTGCATAACCAACCACGCAAACCTTCATTGTCCTTGCAAGATAAGTGCACACCAACAGTAATTCTTTGATCTGTGGTAATTGGGAGTTCCTCCAACCTCTTCCATAAACTAGCATAAGGATCAACAACTTGGGGCATTGGAGGAGGAGCGGCAACAAGGGATTGCTGGAGTGACCTCAATGTAGAGTTGATTTCTTCAGCGGGCTCCACGAAACGACTCTTGGTTCTTGGTGGCTTCTTAGTAGGTGACTTGCTACCTCTTGGGCGCTTCTTACCAACTCGGCTAGTGCTAGATGTTGAATTATCACCACCTACAGGTACTGGAGGTCTTTTAGGACAATGTGTTGTTGGCAAAGTGTCAGAATCCTCCTCAAGAGGGCCCTCATACTGTGGATAGCAGTTGAGATCATACAACCCTTCATCATTGTCCGAGTCATCGAAATCAATTGTGCATGTATGCTGGTCCATGGCCAAAAAACCATCAGCACTAGTGCCTGTGAATAGCTCCTGCATCTCATAGTAGAACTTGATGGGCTTAGCAAGCGCCTTGCTCTATCCTGCATTACAAGCACACACACATTAAGATCCTAATTAAATTAGCCATATTAAGTTTTAAAAAGAAACTAAATTATACGTACATTGAGGCAAGACTTTTCAGACTCGGAGATAGTTACCACACATCTAATATCATCGAAAACATTGCCACTTTTGCTAATTGCGGCGGCAATGTACTTCCAATTTTCTTTGTAGTGCCTGAAGTGACGATCAACTTGAGCAAGTGTCACCCCCATAGCAAATTTTCTATTTAAAGCATCAACACACTTCAAAAGATGATGCTTCCTAAACCTAAATCCCGCATATTGTTCCTTCATGTATTCAATGCACCAATCCAACATAAACTTGGTCTGATCATCAGCCCAGGAAATAGTCCTCTCACGAGAGCACCCATCACCATCAGACTTCCCCTTTCCCTTGGCCATCGCTGTTTCTCATACAGTGAGCCATTTTAATTAAAAGATAATAGGTGAGGCAAATAAACATGAAACAACCAACAATTTACTAAAGATAAAATAAGTGATATAAGTTTACAGAGGTACAACCAACATAGTTTCACATGAATCACATACATAATGACCAAATGTAACAAAATAGCACTCATGTTTGATACATAGAAATAAGGCAGAACTCTAGTTTCAAACAGACTGAATGGAACCTAAAATAAAACCCATCAACATCAGCCTTACATACTAACTTCTTAATCATCTTGATCTTGAGCTGCTAAATTATCATCCCACATTTTTTGAGCTAGTACATCCCTTTTGTGTGCCCATGCCTGGCTCTCCTGGTAAACGTCACGACGGTGTCGTCTACTCCGTGGAAGGGCCGAGTACCAAGTAGCATCATCATAGACATACTCATCAGGACCATCATCTAGGATCCAGTTATGGAGCGCACAACAAGCAAACACAATTTTTACTTGTGTTTTTAGAGGGAAGAATGGCTGACTTGCAAATATTTTAAATCGATTCTTCAAGGTACCAAATGCTCTTTCGAGGGTTGTTCTAAGTGAGGAATGGCGATGGTTGAATAACTCCCTTGGGTTCTCAGGCTCTCTACTTCCCCTATATTCCTTTAGGTGATATCGGACACCACGATATGGGGGTAGTATACCGGATCTTGCAGCATATCCCGCATCCGCTAGGAAATATTTACCTACATCATGATGATGCTAACACATTAGCTAAGAACTAAAGAAAGTTTCAGTTTGAAGCCATGGGTTAGAATCCCATCTTCTGGTATTTTAAGGCCATTGGGACGTGATAGGGCATCTTGGAGCACATAAGAATCATGAGCCGATCCCTCCCATCCAGCAAGAACATATGTAAATCTTAGGTCAAAATCAACGGCTGCTAGCACATTTTGTGTGGGAAAGGACTTTCTACCCCTAAACCTATCTTGCATGTGGATTGGCACACATGCCGGTATATGAGTACCATCCAGAGCTCCTATGCATCCCTACGAAAAGAGAGAACCAGTTTCAAACATACTGAATGGAACCTATAAATACATTGCAGGTACTTGTGAATAATTTTGGATGTACCTCAAAGTAAGGGTGAAATCTGGAGCTACTTGTTATCTTCGAATGTGTTTCGATGGTTCTGATGCATATGACATCACGAGCAAGGAGACACAGGGCATCTAAAACAGCATTGAAGTACCTACTAACAGTCTCGCCCGATTGATAAAACTCGAAACCAATCGATCTATTTTTCCAGTTATGACCCACAACATGGATGAACATGGCAACTTGCTCCTCCACAGTTACATGGAATGTGTCTACCAGTAGACCACGACGTCTCAGGTTGGCACACAATTTGTGAAAAACAAATTTCCGCATGCGCAACTCACTTATGCAATTAGCCTCGGTTCCATAATACATACGGTTCAGGCGTGACATCCTTTCAACATCTCGTTCGAACATGGGAGCATAAGTTATAGATTTTCTCTTCCTTTTTCGGACATTAATCTTGTACCAGTACATCCCTAAACACACAATAATGGCAGCAAGCAATCTTCTCCTCCACATGTAGTAGTGATAATAATGCATGTAATACTGTAAGCATAATGTTCTTTGGTCCATCTATGAAACAATAATAGCACTAAAAAATCAGATGACATCAGTGAGTGGAACTATATATAATTTTTTTATCCAACGCAAATTATACAGAGGACAGTATATTACTCAGACAATAAATTGTACAATACATATCTAAGAAAAGAACACAGAGAGATGTCAAATCTTACATCAACACCACATACTTACAAGAAATTACTAACTTATAATCTCACTCGTACAAGCATGCAACAATTGCAAAGGGGGATTACGGTGTTACCTTTCCTCTTAACAAATAGTTGACCTTTCACTATGAGATGGAAGTTCCTAGTCTGGATGCAACAAGGGCAGGAACAAGCAACGGGAAATCCCACAAATCACGGAAGAAAGCTGGTATTTTTCTCTTGAGAAAATCAAGAACGCCCAGATCTGCATGTATGAGATGAATCTGACGTGATGAGATGGAGGAGATGGAGGAGGTGGAGGAGATAGATGCTGCGGTGATGAGGATTCGTACCAGGGAGGAGCAGATCGAGTGCGGCGGCAAGGTCGTCCTCAGCTGGATCTAGAAGGGGAGAGAGAAGGGCTCTCAGCCATGGGGTCAAGACTGAAGGGGTGGGGGATTTTTGGACTGAGGACGAACAGGGAAGCGGTGACTTTTATCAGTTCGCGGGGATTTTTGTAGCTCAGTTGGCGCGCCGCGGCGAGTGTGGCGGGCGAAACGAGCGCCACACTTTTTGGCGAAATTTCAGTGGCGGACGACCCTTGACGTTGTGGCGAGCCTAACTTTTGTTCAGAACCAAACGCACGCCTAAGGGGCTGTGGCACGCCTCACCTTAGGCGTGGCACGCTTAGGCTGGGATCCAAACAGCCCCAAACTTAGACAAGGGAGACGGATAATTGGGTGTACCGTACCCGGCGTTTATTTATTTATTAGGTGGGGTATACGCACGCAGTATGCTCCATCACGCTGTCTGCTTGCTCGCTGCCTTCGTCGTATCATGTAGTGTTTCAGACCTGCACGACTTCCTTAACCGAATCGATCTAGAGATGATGCAAACCATAGGAAAGCCAAATCGTATGTTGATGGGGCATCCGTGTTGCGACTACATTTTACCATCGAAACCGTATCACAGAATGTTCTCGAATAAGATCGATGGGTATAAAGAGGCCCCTTATTATTGTGTCCAACGCTGTCACACTTGCATGGCACTTGGCATGGCATATGGAATAATTGTTGGCCAGCCTCCGGGCCCCAAGAGGTCCAAAGATCGCTGGTCCTCTACTTCATGCAACACATGTTGTTTTGCGCAAACCATGAAGAGAAAAAACACCATGATTGCTGTTACAAAGCGAGCGACCCAAGATCTTGCGTAGATGTTGGCAACTTGCAAGAGGTACTACATTTTTTTAGGCTTTCAAGAGGTACTACATGCACTCAGACGAAACTAATTCTAGAACTGGGCCAAACTTTGCCTCTCTTTTAAAAAAAAAGCTAAATCAGCTGGAGGGAGAAGCGAAAATATAAAATGTCAAATAAGGACATCTTCGATTAAAAAAACAAAAACTAAGGACATCTTCAATGGGACTAGTAAAACGGACATGCTATTTGTCAGCGGATGCATCCTCGCGTGTCTGCGGATAGTAATACGACACCCGGCCATTCAATGATGTCCGCATATATTTCAAAGTAAATTTAAATGTACCGAATAATTTCATGCAAGCACGACGGAATTCAATAATGTTTAGAATAATTTACATAAACGATATTTCATCCGTTCAATTACAATCTAAAAAAAATCTTGTAGCGGAAGGTGGCCTTGTACACGTGGCCGACCTGCCCAGCAGGACCGCCATCGCCGTCCGTGTGTCGTTGTCTTCGTCAGAGTGGTTCTTCCAACGACGGAAGGGTGTTGGGGCGCAGCAGCCTTGCGTGACCGTTGACTGGCGCTCATGAAGCAGCCGCTCTGTTTCTTCCTGCGCCGTGCGGAAGGCTGCCGCCAACACCGCTGATGGTCGGGCAGCCTTGCCCTTGCCCTTGCCGGTAGCGTTGGTGACGGCGGTGACGACGACATCGTCGGTTTCGCCGAGAGTCCACTTTTCGCCGATCTTGGCAAGCTTCCCATTAAGGCGCCGCAGCCGCTGCACCAAGGTCTTTGCGGTGGCCATTGGCCTGTCGTAGTCCGTGCAGACCTAGTTTGGCGCCTCGTCGGACTTGGCGAAAGCGTCCGGGCTCCGGACTATGCTCCACGACGAGGAGGAGTTGTCATTGCTGTGGCCACTGAATTAGTGGAGGAGGCGCCCGCGCAGGTTCGCAGTCGCTGGTGGCACCGCCTCCTTCACGGCCTTGCCGCAACAGTCATGGCGCAACGGCAACATCGGTTGGTCGATCCGGTCGTAACCACTGTGTTGCGGCGACGTTGGTCCTCCTCCACGCGGCACCCGATTTTGATGTCGCAGTTGCACGGGG